CCAGGAAGCTTTCAATAACATCTTACAATGTCATCAACTTCTCTAGCTTCAAAAAGCATCAGGTATCTGCAAAAGGTGACCAGAGTCGAATCAGCTTATGAGAAGTCTCAGAACTAAGCTTAAAATCCCAGATGCCAGCTTGTCTTCTAAGAATAAGTCATTAGATATTTATTGGAAGCCTATTGTGACCCTAACCCGTTTTTCTCAGTGCTTAGTGCATCAGCCCTCAGACTGAAGGGTCTTGGGTTTGATTCCAGTCAGGGGCACCTATCTTGGTTGCAGGCTCAATCTCGGGAGGCAACCGATCGATGTCTCTCTCTCTCTCACATCTGGTGTTTCTCTCTGTGTCTCTCCTTCTCCCTTCCATGCCCTCTAAAATTCAATGGAAAAAATATCCTAAGGTGAGGATTAACAAAATAAAAAGTCTATTTAGTGTCTGAGAGCTCTCTCTGTAAGTAATGCAAATAATTATATAAGACAAGTCTTTCACCTCCAATAATTACTATATTGCTTAAACAACAAGACTTAAACCTTCAGGCCAGGCTGGTATGCCACAAAGTCAAGATTCTGGAGTTCTCTCTCTCCCACACCCGCCTCTGAGAGAAGCCAGGTCGCATTCTCTAAGATGTGACTTTCTCCTTTCCTGGTCTGCTCCCCTGCTCCGGTCCCAGGAACTAGCCCTGGGCTGGAATGAGACCCAGGGACTGCTTGCTACAAAGAGATGAAGAGGGCTGCTGGGTTCTTTCTCTTTCTGATATGAAGAGGAAGTGACTGTGCTGGCAGCAGCTGGGTCTAAAGTGAGCAGGTCCAGGAGCTGGGGGTGGGTGGGGTGGGGCAGAGTCGGGGACGTGACCATTGCAGGTTCAAGGTAAAAGAGAATAGAGAGGAGGAAACTGGAGGGGGAAACCCTACAGAAAGAAGAAGTGATACCAGAAACTGGCTCAGCTTTTTTCTAATTCCAGACCACATTTATGCAGCCACAGGAGTGCAGCTGTGCAGAGCAGGGAACTGTACCCACTCAGTAAGGACAGAGCAGTGAGTAGAAGTAGTAACTGAAGATAAAGAGCAAAGGCGCTCTCAGGCAAGGTTCCTCAGCCTCAGCACTAGTGACATTTTGGTGATATCTGTTGTCCTGTATATTATAAGATGTTTAACAACATCCCTGGCTTCAACCCACTAGATGTCAGTAGCAACCTCCTCCCTTATTATAGCAATAACAGCAAAAACAATACATAAAAAACTTACTCCAGACATTGACAATGTCCCCTGGGGACAGAATCACCCACAGTGGAGAGCTTCTGTTTAAGGAGGTTAAATTTAACCTGTCAGCAAAAGGAAGCCATTTAATGATAAAAGAGAATAGAGAGGAGGAAATAAGCATAGGGAGCAGTAAGATCAGACATGCTTTTCAAAAGAATGCAGTAGTGTGGAGGTCAACTGTGGAGGGACAGGTATGGAGGCAAAAGGACCATCAGACAAATGACACTGTTTTGGTGACCATCATGAACACGTGACCCAAGACAGCAACAGTGGAGACGGAAGAGAGAGTATTAAAGCAAATTATAATGGTAGACTTAGACAGGATTCCTGGACATAGCATTTGAGGGGAAGGGAGAAATGGTAGGAAATTAGGGGCTTCTGGTTTGGCAATTTAGGTGGTTGCACTGAGAGGCATTACTTAGGATAGGAAATTTAAAAGGAAGAACATGTTTAAAAAATAAGTATAGTTTTAAACAGAATAAAAGTCTGAGGTAAGTGAGGGATATCTAGGTAGTGAGGTTAGTAGAGTTAGGGTTCAGCTAGCAAACAGTTACAGTGCATGCTATGTCTCAGGCCCTTTACAAGTACTAACTCACTTAATCCTCACCACATCCACTGAGATAAGACAGTAACTGCTGTCACCAAACTTACAGATGGGGAAACTGCTACCTGGAGAAGTTAAAGAACTTCTCTAGGATTCCACAGCTCACAGGTTTTGGAGCTGGCATCCAAACTCAGTCTATGCTCTGAACCACTCTACTCTACTGCCTGCCTCTGGAGACAGAGCGGAAGATCAGGATTATGTCATACAAGTGCACAGAGGCGAAGCCACAGGCATAAATGGGGGAAAATGAGCAGAGGAAAAAAAGCAATTTAGGATGAGAGGTTAGAGAAAGTATCTGTTAAGCCAAATGTGAGGAAGAAGCTGAAGGAAGCAGCCAGTGGGGGAACAAAACAAGAGGAGAAGTCTTAGGAACAGGGAGTAATGACATTCTTGTAACCCACAGCAATCCCTCACATACAGCCTACTTTTTATAAATGTTTTTCACTGAATTAATAAGCCTCATCCCAAATAATGATATTAAATACCCACGCTTCTAGCATATTCTGAGTCTTCATAGATGAGTAAAACCTAAAACATGTTCGTGATTTTTCTAGAATACCAAATTTGTAGAAGACATGTTGTCATTAAATATAAAACAGTAGCTTAGACGCCATATGAAATCATTCCTTACATTTATATCCAGCTAAAAAGGTTTTTTAAAGCTTTATTCACATCCTATTTTCTCAGCAATGAAGCATGTTACTATTTTGCATTTTGGTAAAGATCACATGAAATATTGGCTCTTCTAAGTGTTGCAACTGGCAGATACAAAACTGTACAGTCTCTTGCTGAAAGAGAATTTAGAAAATGTCTATGGAAACTGATGACTTCTCACTTGAAGGAGTCACTGGAGCATCTGGTGGATTGGGTTTACTGCTATGATACATCTGTGCATCTGAACAGTGTTTGTTATGCATCCAGTCCTTAGCAGACTTTACAATTATGTACCCCAAACACAAACATTTAGTACAGAATGAGTTTCCTCATGAAGCAAAAATGCTGGGCCTCATTTCCAATTTGAGACAAGTGTTTTCTAAGAGATAAATCTCGATTTCCAGGCCCAAATTCAAAGTGCTTTCCAAACTTTAATACCCAAATCATGTGGGGATTCCGTTAGAATGAAGATCTGATTCAGGGTGTGAAGCTGGGAGACACTGCCTTCCTAACAGGAAGTGATGCGGACGCTCTGGTCCTCACTCTGTGCCTCTGCGCCCAGGGACCAGTGCTGGCAGCACAGGGCCCCTCACAGAACCGCACGTCCCTCTGTGCCCAGCAGGGCATGCTAACACCGTCTATGCTGCAAGTGATGACTCTAAATTATTCTTTTAAATTATTTACAATTCACTCATTCACATTTTCTTATTCTGTTGTTAATAAAAATCTTTCCTCTCTATTGCTTTCATTATCCTAAACTGTGATCTGACTGCGAAGGCCTCAGCTGGTTCTTTGAGATTTCTCTCCCATAGTCCCTGTATAGGTTGAATGGGATGGATTATTTTCTAAATATAAACCATGCTGTGTCCCCACACCCCTTGGGCTTTGGTTTGGTTTGCTGTGGTTGGTGCTTTCCTCTCTCAGGCCATCTCTCTCGGTTTACCTTGCCTGATTTCTCAATGAGATGTGATCTCTCTATTCCCTGAACAACCACTCCCCACAGGAACTTCTCTTTCATTCTAATATTTACGATAGTCTGTCTATAAATATGTTGGTGCTTATCATATCTCCACTACTCAAATACCAGCTACTTGAGGGCAGCAAATTTTATAACTAAACACAACTCCATTAAAATAAAGTTGAAGCGCTACTCCTTACTGATGCTAAACGTAATCAAAATATTCCCAAATCTAAATTAGGGCTTTAATTTCTCCAAAATGATGGGTTTTCCACTTTACTCATCACACACGGAAAACTGGGCACAGTGCTTTATTTGCATTTTTCCCCAACTCTCATAGCTAGAAAATTTTTATTTAACCTTGCTTCATATATTTTATAAGAATTTAAGTTCTAAAGCAGTTCATCTGGCATTTTCATACTGAACAGGCCAAATATCCACAGTCTAGCCCTGAACCTGTGAGTATATTACCTTACGTGCCAAAGGAGCTTAGCAGTTATGATTCAGTTAAGACCTTGAGAAGGGTAGGTTATCCGGGATGATTTGGGTAGGGCCCAAGGCAATAACAAGTATCCTCAAAGCGGGAGAGAAGACATGAGGAGGACTCAACAACCTCCTGTTGAGGTTTTGCAGATGGCGGAAGGGGTCACGAGCCAAAAAATGTGGGCAGCTTCCAGCAGCTGGAAAAGGCGAGGAAACATTCTCCTCTAGAGCAACCACAAAGGGTTGCAGCCCTACTGACATCTTGATTTTAGCCCAGTGAACCTGTGCTGAACTTCTAAACCACAGAATGATATAACAAATTTGTGTTGTTTTAAGTCACTACTTTGTGGCAGCAATAGGAAATATGCTATAAAAAGAAACTATATGGCAATAAAAACTATATGGTTTACCAATATGATATAAAAAGAATTCTACAAGACAAACACAGAGGTAACTCCTCAAAAAGAAAGTGTGATGCTCTATAAAAAGCTCAACAAATATGTTAATGAAAATGTAGTTTGCATTACTAAGAAATATACCCGTGTTTCTTAAAAAGGTAATATATCCATAGCTAGTCTGGCTCAGTGGAGAGAGCGTTGGCCTGTGGACTGAAGGGTCCCAGGTTCAATTCCAGTCAAGTGCACGTGCCTGGGTTGCAGGCTCCTTCCCTATATGGGGAGTGAAGGAGGCAGCTGATCAATGATTCTCTCTCATCATTGATGGCTCTATCTCTCTCCCTCTCCCTTCCTCTCTGAAATCAATAAAAATACATATTTAATATTTGTATATTAAAAAGCTAATATACAAAGTTTAAAACCAGGTTTATAAAATGGTTGAAAGTAAATACAATTAATTCTGATTGAAAAGTTAGGTTAGTAACAGAGGAGAACAAGGTATTTTCAACCAAAGAAATGATAAAAATTAAGTGTGAAAATTTGATACTCTTGCAGATAACATTTAAAAAAGGGAACATCATCCTATCCTTTTCCATAGCACAGGCAGAAAACCAAAACCAGGATTTCTTTTAAAGCTCATATTTACCTGATGATCCTCTGGGCAGCATACTGATGGAGAGAACGGAACTGGGCTGACATATTTGCTAAAGCTGCCAAACAATTTGTGTGAAGGTACTTGTCCTGTCAGAAAACAGCAAGTTGAAAACATTCTTCGGCATTGTAAGCAAGGCTAATTAGAAGCAAATGTAAACTCGACTTTCATTGATTGTTGAAAGCTCAGGTCCACAATCCCTTTTCCCTAATTCCAAAAACCGACAAAGCACTAAAAGTTTCAAAGTGCTTTCACCACGCCTTTGGAGGCAGCATCTGGCAAAGGAGCCTGATGCTCTTTTGTGGTCCTCCTTGCCCTGCCCTGGTGAATTCCGAAGTACTCCACTGCAGAAATATTAATGTTTAATTACAGTGTGCTGCTCCAGAACCTAATGGCTGCATATAGTAAGCATCTGCTCTATAGTTATCTTTCTAAAATCAAAACGTTCTCCATTCTCACACACATCTGGCTCCTAGAGTTTCAGATGGAAGATTCTGAACATGTATCTACGTTAGCCTCACAGAGGAAATAATTGAAAACAGGTCAGTAAAACTTGACCATGTCTCTGAGTTATGAATTCTGTATATGGCTAGTCTATTGACCAGAACTGAAATTTGCCCCCAGATACTGCAAATACAATCCAGTTGAAATTTTCCCTTTACTCTTTGAAAGTGTTCTTTTTTCTATTGTCTCCCCAACTGAATTCATTTTTCTTCTACTCCTATCTTCTTAGTTTGCTGTTGCTTTTAAAAGGCAAATCAGTTTTAATGGTCCAGCAAAGATGTACAGCATCTCTTATTTAAATGTGCTCTACTGCTTGTTTTCGATCTCATGTAAAATGTCTCTAATCATGCAGGCTATTAAATATTAAGAAACAGATGCTATATATAGTACCTTTGGATCATGTAATACAGTGACTATATGCTGATCTGTATTTTTCTACTGTACTTCATGAGAACATCGGCACTCTCAATATTCAGAGTGCCTTCAACTACTGTATAGTCTTAATTGCACTATATGCATATAGAGAATAAAGCAGCTTAGAATATTATACTTACTCTTGTCCTTGTCATGTTGTACTGAATGGTTCTTATTACGACCAGTATTAGGAGACTCCCCAGGGAAATTTCTGTTAAAACCCGTTCTGAATACCAAGTAATATTTTTTAATATCTGTAATGGAGAATTAAAGATAAGTTAACAAGGTTGACTTAGGGAACAGGACTATCCATGCCTATATACCAGGTGTACCGGTTAATAATGCGGATTTTTTTCACTAGATGGAGTTACACGTATGTTGATATATATGCGATTTGATATATATGTTATTTTGTTATATTGCAGCAAGCTTCAAAACTTCATATGTCAATATGAATACGTTAGCAGAATTAGGGTTCAGCTAGCCAACTTCTGCACCTTCTACTTATTCCAGCCATTGCCAATGTCCCCTGGGGACAAAACCACTCACAGTGGAGTGGTTCAGGTACATCTGGAGTAAGTGGAAGGTACTGAAAGTGCTAACATCATAGATATTTTTATGCATCATAGATAGTTTATGATTTAACATCATAAAAATGTCAAATTTCATGCTAAAAAAAAGAACATTTGTGGGGAGTTTTAATTCATTACTTTATTTTTAAGAAAAGTACTACTGAAAGTTTTCCGTATACTTCAGGAAGCTTCTGGTGAACATGCTCTATATCAAGGTAGTTGTGAACGCTGGCTTAAATGCTTTCAAAGTGATGATTTTGATGTGAAAGACAAAGACGTCCAGGTCAACAGAAAAAGTTTGAAGACCAAGAATTACAAGCATTATTGGATGAAGATGTGTGTCAAACTCAAAAACAACTTGCAGAACGATTAAATGTTGCTCGGCAAACAATTTCCAATCATTTACAAGCAATGGGAAAGATTTTAAAGGAAGGAAAATGGGTGCTTCATCAACTGAATGAAAGACAAATGGAAATCCTAAAAGTCATCAGTAAAATGTTGCTTCAACAGCACTAAAGAAAGTCTTTTTTGCATCGAATTGTGGCTGGCGATGAAAAGTAGATTTATTTTAAGAATCCCAAATGCACAAAATATCAACATCGACTACAAGGCCAAATCGCTTTGGGAAAAAAACAGTGCTCTGTGTTTGGTGGGATCAGGAAGGTGTGGTGTATTATGAGCTTCTTAAACCAGGTGCAACGTTTAACACTGATCACTACCAACAACAAATAATCAATTTAAACATGCTTTGATCATAAAACAACCAGAATGTTCCAGAAGACACGGTGAAGTAATTTTGCTTCATGATGATGCACCATCACACACTTCAAAATCAGGTTAAGAAGACATGCTAAAAGATCTTGCCTGGAAAGTATTAACCCACCCACTACATTCACCAGACCTTGCTCCTTCAGATGAGCACTTGTTCCAATTGATGGCACATGTACTTTCTGCGCAGCACTTTAAAATGTACGAAGAAGTGGAAAATTGGGTCTCTGAATGGTTTGCCTCAAAACAAGAAAAGTTCTATTGGGACGGTCTCTGCCAATTACCTGAAAGATGGGGGAAACGTGTAGCCAGCGATGGACATTACTTTGAATAAAGCGCTTTGATGTTTCTCTTGAAATTATTGTGTTTTCTTTGATTACAAAATCCGCATTATTAACCGGTACACCTGGTAATTTCGGGTAAGCCATGGCTATGCTCTGAGTTAAACAGTATATACTAGAAAATTGAATTGTGAGACTTTGAGCACAAGACAGCCAAACTGTACTGATGTGTTTACTTCTCCTTCCCCCTTACTTCTTAAATATAAAAGAAAAAAAAAAAAACCAAGTCCGGAATCAGGAGGTTGTCATTTGTAGACAAAAAGGAGGTATGGCACATAGGACAAGCCTGAGAGAAAGAGTCAGAGCTTAGCAGTCAGAAAGTGAACGTAAGAAAACCAAGGCGTCTCTTGAGAAGTAGAGCTCTCCCAACCGCAGAAAGTGCCACGCTGTGTTCAGGAGAAGGCCAGGAATGCACATAGCCGAGATCTTCAAGAACAGATGTCCCTGTGTTCTCTTCTGTCTACTCAGAGCAGGCAGCTCACCCTCAGGCCTCAGTAAGCAAGAACTGTTTTCTAATTTAACTTGGCACAGCTTCACTGTAGATTTGTAATATGGGTATCAAAGAGAGAGAAAATGGGTAGACACGGGGTGCACTATTTTTTCATGAAAACCTAGTACTTCCATATAAACTGCCAGTTTCAAAAATAGTCACAAGGATGTAAAGTACAACATAGAGAATATAGTCAGTAATCTATGTATATGAAAGCCTAAGCAACCAGCTGACTGGCCCTATGACACACACTGACCACCAGGGGGAGACGTTCAACACAGGAGCTTCGGAATGACGGCAACTGTGCAGAGCGCCCTCTCACACGCTGGGACCCCTGGGGGGATATCGGACTGCTGGCTTCGGCCCGATCCCCACTGGCCAGGCCGAAGGAGCCCCAATGGCCACCTTATAATTAATTTACTTTCAATGTGCATGAATCTGTGCACTGGGCCTCTAGTATTATTATATAACAACTATGTATGGTGCAGGGGGCTCTAGGCTTCTCATGGACATCACTTCATAAAGTATTTAAGTGTCTAATCACTGTTGTACATCTGAAACTAACATAATATTGTGTCAACTGTAATTGAAAAATAAAATTAAAAAAAAAACTTCTACTTCTATATATTTTAACACTGTTTATATGGACATAAACATTTTCAATGTTATAAAGAAAATACCAAAAAAGAAGATAAAATCAGTTTGGGAATGTAATTCACCAGCAAGAATAAAATTTAAAGACTAAAATTATATTACATTGTCTTTTTCTGTTTCTCATGAATTTTATATATATATAATTGATTTCAGAGAAGAAGGGAGAGGGATAGAGAGATAGAAACATTAATGATGAGAGAGAATTATTAATCGGCTGCCTCCTGCACGCCCCCGTCTCGGGATTGAACCCCAAACCTGGGCGTATGCCCTGAGAATCGAACTGTGAGCTCCTAGTTCATAGGTCCATGCTCAAGCACTGAACCATGCCTGCTGGGCATATTACACTGTCTTTTAAAAAATAAAATGGCCGAAACCGGTTTGGCTCAGTGGTAGAGCATCGGTCTGCGGACTGAAAGGTCCCAGGTTCGATTCCGGTCAAGGGTATGTACCTTGGTTGCGGGCACATCCCCAATAGGGGGTGTGCAAGAGGCAACTGGTCGATGTTTCTCTCTCATTGACATTTCTAGCTCTCTATCTCTCTCCCTTCCTCTCTGTAAAAAATCAATAAAATATATTTAAAAAAAATAAAAGAAAAAAATAAAAAATAAAATGACTGATTTATTGGTCTTCTTCCCTTTATTCTATATTCTTTCACTCATGTATACAGGGAGATAAACCTGTTGGACAATTTCTGTCTCAACTGAAAAATGGACATAAAATGGAGAAGAAAAATGAAACCAGTGGCAACAAAAACATTTGCTTCCATTACTAAAGAAACCATTTTGAGAGCATTTTTAATTGTCGCTAATAGTCATTCGGAAAAAACACACAATACAAAATAGCATTTGATAAATGGTTCACAGATCGTTTCTAAGTCAGGTTCTGTCAGAAACAGCTACTAGGAGGAAAAGGAAGAAATGCTAAGCCTCAGTGAAAGGTATAGAGGGACATATTGATTCTGTAACTCTAACTCTAATCAAAATAATGGGGCTTACCACTTCGTGAATGGATCTATTGAAGCCATCGTCTTCTGTGAGGATCAACAATATTATAAGAGCCATGTACACGTGGTGTGAGTTTCTTTCTTCAACATGATACAGAATCTCAAGAATTGGTAAAACCTAGGGAATATAAATTTTACTTTACTACTTCTATTACTTTATTATGAGACCAATGTCTTAAACTTTTATACTTTTATTATCTACCCTTTGCTTAACTTCATAGTTACATTTTTCTTTAGAGAAAAAGACACACAAACCGACTCTGACCGAAAGTCCTTTCCACGTGAATAGCTAAGACACCAGCAGAGGAAATCACCACCGAATTGGTCTGCTGACGCATGCAGAGAGCATGGAGGCTCACAGTCAGCACAGACACTGAACAGAGGCAAGTCTGCCCCCAGCCTACTAGGAACTTACACACAATAAAGTATTCTCAGGAACACTGTAGTGTGTCAAACACTACCTTCCTAATAACAAAGACTATAAAATAAAAGAATTGCTAACTGACAAAAATCAGATCAGCACAATAAATTTCCTACCCATGACATTTTCTAATCATAGCTTTAATAAGGTATTTACTATAGAAGAAAGTCAAAAGGATAGAGACATCAGATGAGACATTATCAAAGTAATCTATGCAAGAAATGTAAAAAACAAAACAAAAAACAAACAAACAAAGAAACATATGAAGAACTCTACTCCACCCTCCCAAGTAAAAACAAAACCTTTTAACTTTTCACCGGTGTACACTGAGTGGCCAGATTATGATCTCTGAACACATAATAATGTGGCCACTCAGTGTGTGTGAGTGTGTGAGTGTGTGTGTGCACACGGGCACACGCACGCATGTGTATTTATATATATGTTAGAGGCCTGGTGCATGAATGGGTTCTGGCCAGCCTGGCCAGGGGGAGGGGACATGGGCAGTTGGCCGGTCTGCTTGCTGGTCGACTCCTGGTAGAGGGGACAATTTGCTTATTAGTTTTTTATTATATAGGATTTACACTGAGTGGCCAGATCATTATGCATTCAGAGATCATAATAATCTGGCCACTCAGTGTATATCATATACAGACAACTGCTCCTCCATCATTTAAAAAAAAATGATCTTAGACAAAGGGAAGGAGAGAGACAGAGAGAGAAACAATTGGTTGCCTCCCGCACATGCCCCAACTGGGGCTCGAACCACAACCTGGCTATATGCCCTGACGGGGAATCGAACGCGCCACCTTTTGGTGTACAGGATGACACTCCAACCAATGGAGCCACACCGGCCAGGTCATCCCTGCGTCATCTTATAGACCAACCTCTATACCACAGAACTTTCCAGAACTAGTGATGTCACAGGCTTTCTGCTTATTGTTATCATTTCCCTTAGAATACATCTTACTCAGAATTGTCTCTATGCTCATAACCTACCCATCAGTAAACAGGCCTTCTCGTTATAAGTTTTCACTCACATAAGTAGTATAATGTTGCACCGATTTTGCTATTTAAGCCTATCTTTTTCACATGTAGTTGGTATGGAGATAGGTTCTTTCATTGTTTCTTTGCCCTCACTGTCACTTTGACATAGGATATGCTCTTCAAATGAATTTTAATATCCCACACTACTCAGTATTTTATCTTTAACACACACACACACACACACACACACACACACACACACACGGCTACCAAATACCTCGTGAATCCTGCTGTCAACCTGTAAAAGCCAGTGCAGAGGGGACATCCCTCTGGGTGCCAGCAGTGGGCGGTGGTGAAGACCTGACGGACAGGGAAGCTGTGGTGCTGCTGCCTCTTTGCTCTGTGGTGCCATCTCTATGAGCTCTGACTCCGACACTGCCCAGCTCTACCTTTGCCTATCAGGTGACATCTCCTCGTTCTTTCTCAGCCATCACCTTGTAGCAACCAAGCAAATACACTTCCCCTCTGGGGAAAAGAAATTATTCTCCAAAATATATTATTCTATAACATACAAAAAGATGTAGTGTTTAGCATATTACTTACAAGATTTTCCATATCCGTGCGAGCCAACATGTACGTCCTAATATTACTATTCTGATGGAGCAATGTATACAATAGGAGAGTTGCCTGATCAGACGTCTGCTGCTCACAGAGAGTCGTGTACAAACTGTTAAAATTAATCTGGAAAGCATGTGGGATTGATGAGGGGAAGGGGCTGTTATCTGGAATACAGAAAACAGAAAAATTTTTTAAATACTTCATCAGTATTTTCTAGACTGTGCCCTTTATAAATAATAAAAACCCACTCATGTATACAATCAATTCCCATTCATTTTACATGTTGCTACCTTTCAGATTCAAAATTTTGATTTACATTTAAAATTCTACTTAAAAAGTAACTAAATGTAAAACATTACAGAGGTGATAACACTGTATTGTATAACTGAAATTTTCTGAGAGTTGAACTAAAATAAGTACACACACACACACACAAATAAAAAAACACTGGGACAATTTATTTCTCTGTACCATCTAAGCAGCTTTCCAATGGTTAGGTGCACCATCCCTTATTTAATCCATACAACAACCATGTCATTGCTCTCACCAGTTTTACAAAGGATGAAAGGAAGCAAAGAGGGATTCAGTAAATTTTCCAACATCAGCCCTGAGTAAAACACAGACCAATTAGCTTCTGTTGTTTTCATGACATAATACTGCTTCTTTAATAATAGCAATAATTCAAGGAGTCAGTACTATGACAGATGCTCATTTACTTCTTATTAAAAACCTTAAGCTGTAGAGTTTATAACCTCTGCTTCATGAATAAAGAGACGAGTACTTAACAAATAAAGACTGGGCTATGAAGCCAGGTCAGTCTAACTCTGAAACCAATGCTCTGAATCAGCGTATCGCCACAGTCTCTGAAAGATGACCATCTCAGGAAGGTTCAAGCCCAAATAATAACATTTGGCCAGAGCAGCAGAAATAACAATAGTAGAGAGACCACAAAATGGACACTTGCTTTGTTGCAAAATCTGAGCTGATCATTTAAAAACCTTACCTTGCTTGGTACTTATACAAATACTATTAGTCATATTATCTTCATGTTACAGACAAAGCCACTGAAGCTTACTGACATTAAGCAAACTGTGAAAGGCTTCGCAGATCTGAAGTGACCATAGAAAATATTATTAGATATGAGAGATTTCACTTCTAATCTATCAAATTATTAGAGACTTCTTATTCCCCTGTAAATAATAATGCCAGAATAAGCAAAACCACAACTAACTGGCACCCTCAGCCACTGTCTATAAGAAACAAATTAGAGAAGCTCTGAAAAGAAGCAGGGCAAAGGGCATCAGAGACCTTAAAAATTCCTATCTAATTCACGACTTTTTACCCATCTTATTATGTGAATGTTGGGCTACCTCTCGATAATCTAGCCTACCATATCATTTTGCTTTCAGAGTATAACCTTTGGAAAAGAGAGTACTACTTCAAAATATAACTTTCTACTTATGCCCTACCTATCTCACGGTTTGGCAAACTACAGCCCACAAACAGCCCACCACCTGTTTGGAAATAAAGTTTTATTGGAAGCAGCCATGCACACTCACGTATGTATTATCTCTGCCTGTTTTGTGCTGTGATGGCAGAGTTAAGAGGTGGTGACAGAGACCACATGGCCATGCAAAGCCATCTGCCCCTTTGCAGAAAAAGATTGCTCAGTTCTGTTCTAATTTTTAGTTCTATAAAACTCTAAATAGACTTTGAGTGAAAAATGTCAAACAACCTATCATTTAGAGTTTTGTTAGGTTTATTTTCATCCCTAACAGGTAGGATAGATAGATCCAAATTAAGCACTTGCTGGCTGGGTTATCTCTGAAAGAAATGGAAATTTAAACACATATAAGGAAGCACAGCCCCCATCTAAGATTTACCTGACTTTTCTGAGAAAACAGGCAGGAAAATGTAAGCTATTCTCATCATTACTCAGTATGAAAATATACTGGACCATCACCTCCACAATTATAAGGCAATAAATAATATGGGGTTAACAACACCCTCCTTCCTCATTAAAAAGAATGCTCAGAGAAAACCCCTACAAACCTTGTGTGTTCTTGAAGGACATAATGGCCTGTCTGTAGGGGTTTGGTGCATCTGCCGCATCGGTCAGGTTGGCTAGCACCAGCAGGAGCAGGAGACTCTGGTTGGCCAGCGGGGAAGCAAGGGCCGGTGCGCTGGCCGCTTTGCTGCCCACGCCGCCCAGGGTGAAGACAGTCCAGAGTCCACCTTGAGAAGAAAACATACGGGTCAGATGTGCTGAGACAGGTAAGTGACTATATTTCTGTGTAACAATCCATACTTTTTCATTCTTAAAAGGTTGAAATAATATTCTTTTTTTTATATAATGAAAGTAAAACAAATGCATTATTTGAAAATTCCCATATCGCCCAAGGATATAAAGTTTTTAAAGACTGTATCATTCCCTATTCCACTGCCACTTCCCATCATATAGATAACCATCATAAAGTTTCTAATATCTCTCTCCATATTTTCATTATATACCCAAACATATTCACATTTATAAGAAAATTTCATGTACGACCTTATACACATATATCTGAAAACCTAAGCAAAATATTAAAATATCCAGGAAAACACTAAATATCAAAATTGACCAAAGAGTCAAAAATCTGAATTGGCAAATAATCTTAGAAGAGTGAAAAATGGACTCAAAGAGCTAAGCCTAAAAACAAACCACGCGTCCAGCTATTTTAACAAATAAGTCTAACAAACCCTCAAAGTACAGGTAATTCTCATCTATATATATAAAAACTTAAAACTAAATCAAACAAAAGGAGATAAAATTTTGTAGAAAATTTTGTTAAAAAGAATAAATACATCATGGTCAAGAAGGTTTTGTCTCTGAAATGCAAGAATGGTTTACCATTCAATAAAAAACTTATAAATTTGTTTCTCTTCATTTAAAAAAGATGGGAAAAAAGATCATCATCTCAAGAGATGCCAATTTTTTAAAATTAAACTTAAAACCTATTCTGAATTTAATGAAAAAGAATTCCTAACAACTAGAAAAGGAAAAAAACTTATTGTTTTGTCTACCTAATCAGAAATTCACAGTGGTCAAACAATTAGAATTCCATTATATCACCAACATCCATATTGTACTACTGGACCACTAAGCAAAAGATATTAAGGAAAGAAAAACAAAGACAAGAAGAAAAAAAAAAAGGAAAAACCTTAATTTTTTTACAAGCAATCTGTTTGTGCACTAGTCAATACAGTAGCCACTAGCCACTGTGGGCTGTTCCGGGAACTTGAAATGTGGTTATATAGTCTAAACTGGAGTTCCAAAGACTTAAAAATAAAAAATTTAAAAAAAGTAAAAATCTGTCACTAATTTTTAAATATTGATTACACGTTGAAATGATAATATTTCGGATATAGTGCATTAAAGGGTATTGTTAAAGTAAATTTTCTCTGTTTTCACTGTTTTTTAATATGACTTCTGGAAATTTAGAATTACATATGTGGTATGTATCTATGGTTCACATTATATTTCTACTGGACAGAGATGTTCTAGAAGATCAAGAGACTCAACTGATAGTATTAGAATAGATTTTGGTACCATTCTATGACACCAAAAAAATCAACTTATGAAAAAATCAAAAGCCTTTCTATAAATGAGCAATAATTAGCAAGTCCAATCACAACAGCAACAAATCCAATAAAATATTCAAGAATAAACACAAAAGAAATGTGGGAGACCTTTAAGCAGACAACCACAGAACTCGACTAAAGGTCATATGAGACCTGAATTAGTAAAATGGTACAACATATTTCCAGACAAAAAGACTCAATAGTGTAAAACTTCCCTCAAGTTAATCTAAAATTCAGTATAACTACTATCAAAATATCAAGAGGAATTTATGTAATATTTTGTAATACAGTGTCAATAAAATACTGCTGGGTGTGGAAATACATAAGAAAAAAAATGTTTGAGAAGGACTAAATAAGGAATGCTCCTGGTCAAATAGCAAAATTTTTATAAAGCTATAGTCATTTACAAGTACGATATTGACAAGAGAGTAGACAAATAATTCAGTGAAAATAAGATCAGAACAGCACTACATGTGTTTGAGAATTAACCTTATGATACCGATAATATTCTAAATCAGTAAAAAAAAAATCTATAACTGTCTTTGGGACAATAGAATTTAATTATTGCCTCAATATGTATTTTGAAATGTTTTTACTGATATTTTTAAAGAGAGAGGAAGGCAGAAGAATGGAGAGATAGAAGCACTAATGATAAGAGAGAAACATCCATTGGCTGCCTCCTGCACCCCCCTACTGGGGGATCAAGCCTGCAACCCAGGCATGTGCCCTGACTGGGAATCGAACTAGCAACCTCTTGGTTCATGGGTCAAAGCTCAACTACTGAGCAACATTGGCCAGCCTCTCAAGTATTTAACTATAGAAGTATGTGTATGAACCTTGAGTTGAGAAAGCCTTTTTCTGATGCAAGTTACAAAATTAAAAAAGATATAAAAAATAAAAATTTAACTACTTAAGAATTAAATGCTGCCGAAATCAGTTTGGCTCAGTGGATAGAGTGTTGGCCTGTGGACTGGAGGGTCCCAGGTTCGATTCCGGACAAGGGCATGTACCTTGGTTGCGGGCACATCCCCAGTAGGGGGTGTGCAAGAGGCAGCTGATTGATGATTCTCTCTCATCGATGTTTCTAACTCTCTATCTCTCTCTCTTCCTCTCTGAAAATCAATAAAATATATTTTAAAAAAAAGAATTAAATGCTTTGTAATGAATTATATTATAAACAAAAATAAAGAAAACATTTGTAACATATAAACAGAAAATACTTATTTTTTAAAAGACTTCCTGCAAATCAATAAGAAAACTAACAATCCAAAATAAAAATAGATAATAAAAGTCCAAAGCAATAAAAAGACGAAATGAGTTCATTAATAAGACAATGAGAACAGAAAATTTTAGAAGACTTATAACACCCAGTGTTGTTAAAGGTATAGAAAACTACCAATAGTGAGAGGTCAAAGTAGTACAGAATTTTTGGAAGATGTTTGGCAGTTCTTATAAAAAAAAAAAAAATGCACATCCTCATCAACCCAGCAATTTTGTTTTTTATACTAGAGAATACTTGAACAGGTACACAAAGATTCAAGTACAGGAATAGTTACTGCAACTTGTTTAAAAGTGTCAGATAATGAAAACAATGTGAGTTGTTCACCAAGAGCTATAGTTAATCCACATTATGGAATACAATATAAAGAGGAAGATATTTATGTATTAACCAGGAAATATCACTAAGGTATATAGTTAACTAAAAAGAATAAAATTGCAGAAAAATTGAAGTTAATTTTTAAATCACTCACTAAAATTATACTGTGTGTGTGTTTTAAAAACAGGAATAACATTCCCTAACCAGTTTGGCTCAGTGGATAGAGCGTCCTCCTGTGGACTGAAGGGTCCCAGGTTCAATTCCAGTCATGGGCATGTTTCGGGCACATCCCCAGTAAGGGGTGTGCAGGAGGCAGCTGATCAATGTTTCTCTCTCGTTGATGTTTCTCTCTGTCCTTCTCTTCCTCTCTGTAAAAAATCTTTAAAAATATATTTAAAAACAAAACAGGAAGAACCAAGTGTACATCATACTGATAAGAGAAATTACCTCTGGCATGAAATTCAAGGACTTTTGCTTTATTTGTATAGTTAAATATTTTGCAATAAGAATATGTTAATTTCATTTAGTTCCTTAAAAATAAATGTACAATAGCTCTCGCTGGTTATGGCCCAGTTGGTTGGAGCATCCTCCTGTATACTGGGGGCGGGTTCAATCCCAGTCCTGGTGCAAACAGGAGGCAAATGATCGTGTTTCTCTCTCATTGATGTCTCTCTCTCACTCACCCTTCCTCTCTCTAAAATGAATAAAACAACCCTGAGGATTAAAAAAAAAAAAAAAAAAAAGGAAAAATAAAATTAATTGAATACAGATCCAATTAGTACATAATTATGTAAAATATGGAAAAAAAACCCTCAGGCAAATCACAAAATATAAATATATATAATACATTCCATTTTAGTTTTTCTAATTGTTAAATATACACATCTATGCAAGTAAATGCACCTACAGGTGCCTGAGAGGTATGCTGCCTTGAGACTGGTTTATTGTTTATTTTCATTTTAAAAAACTTCTAGTCAATTCCTTCCACTCAGAGTTAAGCTCCGTAACTGTCTACCCCAGATCCACCACTGAGTATTCCAGGATTATAAGCAAAGAAAAACACAAGTAGGAAGTTCAATCTGTAACAAAAATAATCACAAAATGGGGTTTTCAATCCTCTTCATACTAGGAGAAATAAGAGTTGACTACCACTGGACAAATTTCACAAACAAGATTCTGATTCTCTTTTAGCATAACTTCACTCTCCTTTTTTTTTTTTTTTTTTTTTTTTTCTTCTCTCTCCAGTTTTTCCAAGAGGGCTGAGAAATTGCTTATAATACGAGACAAAATAACATTTTATTGAGAAGCTATCCCCAAGCCCACCCACAAACATAGCCCTCCTTCCTTTCTCTGGTAAATATTATTGCTATGTTGCCTTTCCTTTTAGGGAGAAAGGAGGCAGCCTGCCATTGCCTACAATGTAGTTTAAACTGGCCCATAATATTGGACCAGAGTTATTCCAAAGGCTCATTTCTTTTTGCTGATCCAAGCCTCTGATCTGTGACCCAAGAATCTTAGTGGAATTGCATTTTCCTGTTGGAAAAAAATAAAAATAAAATCTCTCCACCAGAAAAATAAGGGAAAGTTACAGTATATTTTTTTCTGCTCTAAAAAACAAAGATGGTAACCAAAGTTTTTAAATTGTATTCCTCAGGTCCTCCAAATAAAATCTTAAAATAAAATTCACTTAACTAAAAACTAAAAAGTATTAAAATTAATAAATCTGGTGTTGATGATTCAAATTTTTTTAAGTACCAAGTCAAGATTATTTAACCTTAATAATAAAAAGTTGAGGAAGATATAAAATATGACAACTAAAGCATCAATACAAATAATTATTGAGGAAAAAAGGAACCCTTGTTCTACAAAATAATGAACTAAAAATAAACACTATTTTATTAAGACAATTAAATTGTTTTTTTTCATATTATTAAACATGCTAACAATACTTGCCAAACTAGAATGGATTTCTTATATCTAATGATTACATTATGAAACACAAATTATACAATCC